ACAGAGAAGGAAACTGAGGCACAGTGAGGGTAGGGGATTTATCTCTGTTCAGGGGGGACTCTCCCTGCACCCCACTCTCCCTGGGGCCTCTGCATTCCAGCTTGGCTCTCAGAGTTGGTTCTGTGAGAAACAGCATTGGGTGCATTTGTTCTCTCGATGCTATTTTTAAGTCAGAAATCAATGTTAATAGACACTGATGGGAGAAGATAAGAATCAGTGATCACATGGGATTGAAAAACTAGTTGCACCATGTTTTTCTTAGTGCCGTGTGTGTGTGTGTGTGTGTGTGTGTGTGTGTGAGAGAGAGGGAGAGAGAGAGAGGGAGAGAGAGAGAGAGAGAGAGAGAGAACAGGCATTAAACTCTTAGACAGTCGAATGCCTACACTAAAAGGAACTACACAGAGTCAGAGAGATCTAGTTAAATGATTCAGTTCTAAGGGTCCGGGATCCGATCGAGGCCTAACAGCATCGTCTTCAGTTTGGTCCTATTAGCTCGTGATTGATCGCGGAGAGGAAGCAAAGGCACAAACGTCAGTCTAAGGGGAAGCGCCTGCCGGGGGGACTTCTCCCTCCAGACCCACCTGGAAGCTGCCTCACCTTCTCTCGCTACCGAGGGTCTGTCATACAAAGTGAAGTAAGTCAGAAAGAGAAAAACGAATACCGTATGTTAACGCATATATATGGAATCTAAAAAAAAAAAAAAAAAAAAAGGTTCTGAAGAACCTAGGGGCAGGACAGGAGTAAAGATGCAGACGTAGAGAATGGACTTGAGGACATGGGGAGGGGGAGGGGAAGCTGGGACGAAGTGAGAGAGTGGCATGGACATATATACACTACCAGATGTAAAATAGATAGCGAGTGGGAAGCAGCCGCATAGCACAGGGAGATCAGCTCGGTGCTTTGTGACCACCTAGAGGGGCGGGATAGGGAGGGTAGGAGGGGACACGGGGATGTATGTATACGTATAGCTGATTCACTTTGTTACAAAGCAGAAGCTAACACACCATTGTAATGCAATTATACTCCAATAAAGTTGTTAAAAATAATAATTATAATAAAATAAATCGAAAAATAAAATAAAAAGGACGGAAAGAAGGAGCTAAATTGGCTGAACTAAGTGGTGTTGCTGGAAGATGCCCCCGGCTCAAGTGTTGCCTCAACTTTTGAAGTTCTTCCAGGACACCTTGTGCTTACTTGTTCCCTCCCCTTCCTGCTGTTTTGCAGATCCATCCACTAGGGAATTGCGTGGCAGGAAGGTGTGATTTTTATTTAGTTTGCTCCTGATTCCTTGTTTGCATAGCACCTGCGTGCCGCCTGCAGCCCTGGGGTTCAGGTAAGAGCCTTAGGAAACAATTTCTTTAAATTCAGTTTAAGGCCTCAGAGTCCTGAAGCAGCTCTTGTATTACTGGTGTGTGATAATCCTGCTTAAGTAGGTATCTGTCTACAGGGCTTTGGGTAGGAAAGGGGTTAAGCCACTTCCGAAATACATTCTTAAGAGGCTAAACAAGAGACAGAAGCAGATTTTGAAGTTCTGCTAGAACTCTGCAGACTGGCTGCGAGGAGGGATGAAACCGTAGAATAGATCATGAGAATTAGCAGACCTTTCTAGAGAGCTTTCCAGAGAAGCCCATGGATTATTCTGCACACATGTTAACATGTACATTTGTATATTCGTGGCAATACTAACCGACCTAGTGCAGTTTAAAACAAGGCCTTCAACATATGTTGAAGAAGAAATACATACGTACAAAGTATAGAGAAAGTGGAAGGAGATGTATTCAAGGAAGGCAGTTTGGAGATTTACGTTCTTGGACCGTCACGTCTGGGAGGGATGCTGGGTTCCTTGCAGTTTTTGCAACCTTTAGAGGCTAGAGGTTTGGAGACCCGGTAAAGATTGCTCAGCTGGGCTCTGGCAGGTCTTTATTAAATCTTTGTATTTGGGCAAGTAAGAATGATGAAGAGTAGAAACCTTTCATCTTGGCCGTGAATTAGGGACAACATGTCCTTGGAGAAAATTAATCAGGAGGGGCGCTGAGTAACCTTTCAGAAAGAAATTCAGTCGTGAAGGAGAATGTAGGTCAAGCGTAGGAGAAACAACCCAGAAATAGGAAGTAAGAACCTATTTCATTTGGGTCTAACAAACAGTGACTCCAAAGCCATTTGCAGTCTGTATCCCTCTGCCCCTAACCGTTTCCGTATGTCAGGTTTGTGGGGTCACAGGGGCTTCCCAGGGTCCCTCCTTCCCCCTGACTTGACATTCAACAGAAGGACTGTGTCCATTCTCTTTGCGTTCACACGGACTGTATTGCTCTAAGGCAGGGCCTGCTGTGGGGTTTTTAATGTATCACCTGAAGGGTTTTTGACCCAGTGGGTCCTCAGCAACTTCGTTGGGCTGAGTGACTACAGATGCTAGACCCTCCTCACTTTGGGTGAGCACGCACACCTTTGACAGCTGAAGCCTTGCATCCGTCAAAACTGAGGTTAGCTCCAGGAGGGAACCTGAATAACAGGCTTGGGCAGGTTAGCAGCACGTGTGTTTCTCTCTCACGTCAAAGATGGGCTGGGAGGGCAGGCCTGGTCTGCGCTGTCATCAGAGACCAGGATCTCTCTGTCCCCAGAGTGTTGCCCTCCAGTTCATGAGGGAGGGCGCACCCCTTCCCGTGAAGGTCCTGGCCCATCAGGTGCACGTGTCACTTTTACCCACTTCCCACTGGCCAAAATCTAGTTTCACGGCGATACCTGGGCTGCAGGGGTGGCTGGGAAATGAGTCTATTGTGGGCAGCCATGTGCCAACCGACATTTCTGTTACCACTGATGATGGTAACATCCAGCCACCTCCCTGGTGAAGATTTGCATGTGGTTGGAACCAGGATAATATTTATTTATTCATTCATTCATTTATTTATTCACTGTCATTCATTCATTCAACCACTCAACAAATATTTGACTGTGAGTGCTGAAAATAAGAAAGTAGGAAGATGCAGTTGCTGTCTTCAACAAGCTGTTACCTGTAAGTGACGCTAGTCTAGGTGCTGCGTGGAGAAGGGGCGGGGCAGGGGGGGCAGTGATCCAGAGAAGACAAGAGGGAAGGTGGAAGCCGGGGAGGGAAGGATGGGAGACAGATGGGGTCCTAGCTCCAGTGCACTCTGGAGAAACACCAGAAGTAGGAATTAAACATTGAAACTGAGGAGCCAGCCAGAGGCTTTGTGAGAAACGCAAATGTAACTTTTTATTTTGGAAAATAACACATGAATGTAATTTCTCCTCTATTCCTTGTGCAAACCACCATGTCCTTCTTCTAAAAATGTTTTCTTTAGAGATGGTGCCACAGCCTATCTCACTGCTTCTTCGGGAGCAAAGCACGTTCCTTTATTCATGATCCTTTGTTGAAGTTTGTCTGCCTGCCGGGCCTGGGGTGATACATCTCCGCCCGTGTCCAGTGTGCAGGACCAGGGAGAGAATCACAGAAGGATGGATGTTTGCTTTTACCTCAGCTCTTCTCTGGCTGGAGAGCAAAATGGAGTTTATCCCAATTTGACACCTGTAGGAGCTCCTGATCCTTTTTATTACTGGAATAATTGTAACACATTTTGAAACAATTAAAAGGGAAAAATCTAGACCCCCTGCAGAGGTTGGTCTGTGCAAGTTAGATCTGACTACGACCAGTCACTTCTGAGTTAAACAGAAGAGGAAGGTGTAGGTTATTTATGGAATTTGGCTCTAAGAAAACTCAAGTCAATTTCCTGAAATGGCGTAAGTTTGTGATTTTAAAGGGAAACATCTGCCCTTCCGTCCCCAAATACTTCTATTTGCATCAAACTGCACCCTGAGACTCATGGAGGCTTCCATATGATGGCGATGTGACCCTCTGGATGACAGTCTAACTGGGTTTTAAAAATGTATATGTAGAAATAGTTTTATAGGCACTGTAAAAAAGCATTTTAAAATAAGATAAGCTCCCATAACCTCACCATTCCAAAGCCACCACGTGCGTTTGGATATATTTGCTTCTAGTTTTTGTTACTATGCTTATAGGCACACGTTGCGTTATTGCGCTTCCCAGACAGCGCGTTTTGTCACAAACTAAACATCTGTGGCAACCCTACATTGAGCATTTGCTCACTTCGTCTCTGTGTTCCATTTGGGTAATTCTCACAATATTTCAAACTTTTTCATCACCATTACATTCGTTCTGATGATCTGTGATCTTTGATGTTACTACTGCTACTGCTGAAGCCTCAGACAATGGTTAGCATTTTTCAGCAATAAAGTATTTTTAAAATTAAGGTATGTACACTGTTTTTCCACATAAGGCCATGCACACTTAACAGACTACAGTATGGTATAAACATAACTTTGTTATGACCTGGAAACCAAGAAATTTGTGTGACTCAATTTTTTTCTGATCTTCACCTTATTGCAGTGGTTCTGGAACCAACTTTTCTACTCTCTGTCTCTGAATTTGACTATTCTCAGTACCTCATGTAAGTGGAATCACACAGCATTTGTCCACTTGTGACTGGCCTAGTTCACTGAGCACAGTGTCTTTAAGGTTCACCCATGTCGTAGCCTGTGTCAGAATTTCCCTCCTTTTTAAGGCTGAATCATATCTATCCATCACGTGGGTGGACCACATTTTATTTATCCATTCATGCATCAATGGACACGTGGGTTGTTTCCACCTTTTAGCGATTGTGGACAGCATTGCTGCTGTGAACATGGGCGTAGAAATATCTGCGGGAGTCCCTGCCCTCGGTTCTTTTGCGTGTATACCCGGAAGTGGGATTGCCGGAGCAAATGCTAATTCCATGTTTGCTTTACTGTTCAAAATGTGCTTTCATGCACAATGTGCTCGAATTTGGTTTTTACAGTAGCCCTGTGAGGGAAGCATTAATCTCTCCTCTGGCTGCAAGGAGGGGTTTGCCCAAAGTGAAACGGTCAGTTGGAGTTTCTTTGCCCAAAGCGAAACAGTCAGCGGGGGTTTCCTGACTTGGAACGTGGCTCTCTCCCGGATCGCCCACCATTAGAGTCTCCCCAGTCACACGCGTCCGTCCAAGGACAGTGTCCTTCGATTGTGAGTGGCCAGTCTGCTCCCAGCTGCCCCCCGACCCGCCCTGGCTGTGCTGTCCAAGCTGGGCCACTGCAAAGAGCAGAGGCTTTGTCCGTGGCCCTGGCGATGAGAGTTTCTCCCTTCAGTCTGTTTCCGTCTTTCCGTTCAGCTCTGTCATCTGAGCCATGAGGATCTGGTGGCTCTTGTTCGTCTCCGGGGCCTGCGCAGGGATGGTGAGCTCACAGGACACCTGCAGGCAGGGCCACCCTGGCGTCCCCGGGAACCCAGGTCACAATGGATTGCCTGGGAGAGATGGACGTGATGGAGCAAAGGGCGACAAGGGGGATGCAGGTACCCACCACCTGTGCCTGCAGCTGCCCCCCGCTCATCCCCCTTCCTTTCACCTCCTTCATTCATTCATTGCCTGTGGGCTCACCCCTTTCCATCCATCCATCCATCCATCCATCCATCCATTGCCCAGAAGACACTGATGGAGAGCCTGCTCCGGCCAGATCCAGGCTGGGTGTGGGGTACAGGGCAGCACGAGCCATGAGGACCCCTGTCCTCGTGGGCTTTCCCACTGAGTGGGGCTGCCTGTCTGCTGGCCACCATCTCCGATACTACAGGGCCGTTTTCAGGAGCTTGTGATGTCATAGATCTTTCTGCCTCCGGCGACAGGTATGAGGGGTCTTTGGCACCGGGTCCTAGAGAGACATCCGACGGGTAGGTCTCTGGCAGGGAGCACCCAGCACGGTGCAGGCCTTGCCGTGAGGCAGGTGGTGCAGAACGCCAGAGAACAGGAAGGGTCCTGGAGCCACACAGCCGCTCCTCGGGTATCTGTGCTGTGTCCCGGGACCTCCCCACGGTTTGGGGACTTGGGGACAGGATCCAGCCTCTGGGAGGGACAGTCCCAAAAGCCAGGATGTGTGAGTGGTTTCCATGACAAAACCCTGTAAGGCTTGATTTCTGAATGGGGTTCTTGAGCCCTGGTCTGACCATAGGGTCGTACACCTAAGATGTAAGCAGAGGACCCATCTGGGCGCAGGAAGAAAACATTGAAACTTCTAGTGACGTCTTAAAAGATAAATTTAGGTGAAGAAAGAATTGAGGTTTTAAAACGCTTGCTATATGAATCCGTGTGAATGGCCTCACTTGGTCGGTTTGCAGATACGCACGTGTCATTTGAGGCCTGGACCATGTCCCGTGGGAAGAGTGGTGGCCCACAGTGTGAGCAGGCTGGCCGGGACCCTCCCGCGTTCACTGACCTTCAGCGTGTTGGGACGTTTTGCACTAAGTGTGCCTGGACCGGGGGTTCTCAGGTTATGCTGTTGAACTCTCACAAAGAGATGGGTGCTGAAAATACTCCCGCAAAAAAACTGACGGTTGAAGGTGAACTTGATAATGCAAAGCAGTAAAGAATCCTGAGAAGGGCAGAGCTGCCATTTCTATTCATGTGAATTCTTCCAATGTGCATTAGAAGGAAATAACAATGATGAACGTCAGTCAGATCTGTCAAGACGTCTACCCCCCCAACCTGGAAAGTATTATAACTGTGGGCCCATCCCTTATCTGCCCGGTGGTACCACGTGTGTATATGTATGTGTACATGTGCGTACACGTGCGTGCGTGTGCCCGCACACGCGCACAGGATACCCTGTGTCTTTGAGATCCCTCCCCCCACCCCGCCCCCGTCACTCCCACGCCCCTTCTCACTGCGAGGACCGCCTTGGATCCACCAGCGGGCTGGGCCGGGAGAAGCGCGGGAAGGCATCGCTCAGATGATGCTGTCGGAGCCTGACTCCGCTGCCCTCCAAGCGTGACGGCCCGATGCTGGCCTTTCTCCTGGGCGGCTCTTTGTGGGCCTCCTGTATCATCCCTCGGAGTGGACGATGCACTCGCTGCCTGCCCCCCCCGGGGCTGGGGCACATGCTCTCCGCGGCCGCAGTTCTCTCACCCGGCTCCGCGGAGGCGCCCGCCGCCCGGGGAACCTCAGCGCTTGTCCAGCGTCGGGCAGCCTCGCCGGCTTCTCCTTTACACTCGTCTCGGTGGAAGTGTCGCATCCGTCTACGTGACTCAAACTGCGGGCTCACAGCCTCGCTTTCTCTACAAACGTCTGAGTCTCCTTTGCTCCAGAGCCGAGGCAACATTTCTGCAGGCCAAGGGTGCGGGTGGGAGCCAGGTCACAGCCCCCGTCTGGCGCTCATCCTCTCTCTTCGGCTCAAGGGCGCATGTGTGCGCTGGGTGGTCGATCTCCAAATTTGGGAGGTTTAATTTAAAACGCTCGTTATAGCATATTCTATACACACAGAAGAAGATAGATGGAGAGAGAAGGAAGACAGATGCTCCTGTATCCAACACCAAATTTCTCTACCTCTCTGCTACTCATTCTCTCTGCTTCTTCCTCCATGGTCCCGTTTCTTTCAAGTTTCACATACTTCCTTAAGACTTGCACGCTACATATATAGTTTATTTAGATTATATACAACACGCATGTTTCTTAGAAGGATATTATGTCACATTTCTCACACTAAAAATTAACTTAATCTTTGTCTTACCATTTTCAAATGTATTTGTGTGTATGTTTTATTTTTTAAATTTATTTATTTTTTGGTTGCATTGGGTCTTCATTGCAGTGCGCGGGCTTCTCATTGTGGTGGCTTCTCTTGTTGCAGAGCACGGGCTCCAGGCGCGTGGGCTTCAGTAGTTGTGGCTCGTGGGCTCAGTAGTTGTGGCTCGCGGGCTCTAGAACGCAGGCTCAGTAGTCGTGGCACACAGGCTTCGTTGCTCCACGGCACGTGGGATCGTCCCGGACCAGGGATTGAACCCGTGTCCCCTGCCTTGGCAGGCGGATTCTTAACCACTGTGCCACCAGGGAAGTCCCGTGTGTATGTTTTATAATGAACATGTTTTTAGAACATTACCTGTACATAGCTTACAAACATACGTGTGTGGACATAACATAGGATGCTGGTGTCCAGGGCAGCCTGTTCTGAGCATCAGGACTCCTGGGTGCAGCAGAACCTCATGGCCTGATGTCCCAGTGGGTCTCCACAGCACCTTGACCACTGTAAGGCGCTAGAGAGATCCTTCGGGAACCCTCTCTCCCATGCCAAGTAGTGTGGTGTAACCATGGTCATCTGCACTTTCATAGGAGGCTAGTACTTGCACTCCACCCCCCACAGAGTGATGGAAAAGGAGCACAAATGACAAAGCCACCCCCCCAAGTCCTTGTCACGTGAGAAACATGCAATCGTGATCATCCGAGCTGGCTGCTTGGGAAGCCCACCAGTCCACTGCACGACCCGCTTCTTGGCGCACTCAGCACCCTTGCTGCTTGCCCCTGCCTGCCCTCCCCCCGCAGGTCTGTGAGGGGTGGGGTGTGCGGGTCAGGCTGGGGCTCCCTGGGACCCTCCATCGCTGACTGGGACCCACATCGAGGGAAACTGGAGCTAGAATTTTAACTTCTGCCTATTTTCTCATTTTCCATCAGGCGAACCAGGACATCCTGGTGGCCCAGGGAAGGACGGGATGACCGGAGAGAAAGGAGAACCAGGTCAGAGATGGCTTTCCATCCTGCTGTGTCCGCAGCCGGAGCCGTCAGTGATAGGATAGGAATTATTAAGTGCTTACCAAGGACAAGTCCCTTACGAGGCTTCAAGGATGCTCCAGCGATAAAGGCCACACGGTCCTTCTCTCCAGAAGCGCAGGGTTCACTGCAGGGATGAGCACACTTTCCATAAAGGGCTTTGCGGGCCACGGGGTCTTGGTCACAACTACTCAGCTCTGCCGTCGTAGGGACAAGCTGCGTAGAGGATGCCTTAGGAAGTGGGGCTGCGTTCCAGTGAAACCTGAATTTTACATAATTGTCAGGAATCTCAGAACGTGATTTGTGACCATTTAAAAGTGTCAACTGTTCTTAGCTTGTGGGCTGTCAAAAACAGGCGGAGGCTGGACATGGCCCGCGCTCCATGGTTTGCTGAAGCCTGATTTAGCGCTGGGCCCTGACGAGGGACGCTGGATTCTGACTCGGCGCCCGGGGTGGCACTGCAGCAGAAGGTGGCCCTTGAGCCGGGCCCTGGAGGCAGGGAGGATGCCGGCAGCTATCGCCCGAGGGGGAGGGAGGATGGTTACCACGGCAACGCGAACAGTGTTCTCGCCCCACTGGGTCGTTCTAAGTGCCTTCCTTGTGTTGACTCACTTAATACAACAGCCTATAAAGGAGGCACTTTATTATCCCAGCCGTGCAGGTGAGGAACCAGGTGTAGCTGGGGAATCAGCTTGTGCATAAGCGGTGGAGACTGGGCTGGATCCTGGCGTCTCACTCCAGAGCCGGAGCTCGGACCACGGCTGTCCAGTCAGGGCGTGGGAAGCGGGAGGCGCCAGGGAGGGGGGAAGGCGGAACCACGACAGCGCCACGCACCTGGCGCGGTGCACAGGCCGGCAGATGCGGCGAGCAGTGAGCGCCCACCCAGGACCACCTGACTCCAGTGAGGGGCTTCTTGGGGGGCGTCACGTCATCGGGGCTGCGCTGTCAGCTACCAAAGCAGCCCTGGTGAATCTGCTGTCTGCCTTCTTCCCTCTTCCAAAGATGCGTCCCCTCAGGGACGGGCAGAGAGCTGTCATTTCTTTCTTTTGTTTTTGGCCGTGTCGCTCTGCATACAGGATCTTAGTTCCCCAACTAGGGATTGAACCCGCGCCCCCTGCATTGGAATCGCAGACTCTTAACCACTGGGCCTCCAGGGAAGTCGCAAATAACTGTCATTTCTAACGTGAGCCCCGATGCTGGTATAGTAGAGTCAAAGGGTGTTTTGCGCACATGTGTACCTGCACAGTTTAGGAGTAAATTAACTTTCAAACCCTGAGCACATGCTGGAACTGTGCACTGCCTTACCTCATTCACTTGCTCAATAATAGAAAAACCAAAGTTGTTTTCACAAGCAAAGTTTCACAAATCGTCTCTTCCTCCGTTCTTTCTTGTCCCACCCAGGAGCCGATGGAAACGTTGAAGCAAAGGGCGTCAAAGGTGATCAGGGCTCAAGAGGCCCCCCAGGGAAACACGGGCCAAAGGGACTTGTGGGCCCCATGGGAGAGAAAGGCCTCAGAGGAGAGACCGGCGCCCAAGGGCAGAAGGGGGAGAAGGGCGACGTGGGTCCCGTTGGCCCAGAAGGGCCAAAGGGCAGCACTGGACCTTCGGGCCCAACTGGTTTACCTGGCCCCGTGGGCCCCACCGGAAAGCCGGGTCCCAGGGGAGATGCCGGCCCCCTGGGGCCCCAGGGTGAGCCCGGAGCCCGGGGAATGAGAGGCTGGAAAGGGGATCGAGGAGAAAAAGGGAAAATTGGGGAGACGCCAGTCTTGCCCAAAAGCGCCTTCACCGTGGGGCTCACGGTGCTGAGCAAGTTCCCTCCGTCAGACGTGCCCATCAAGTTCGACAGGATCCTGTACAACGAGTTTGGCCACTACAGCGTGGCCACGGGGAAATTCACCTGCCACGTCGCCGGCGTCTATTACTTCACCTACCACATCACCGTTTTCTCCAGGAACGTCCAGGTGTCTTTGGTCAAAAACGGGGTAAAAGTCCTGCACACCAAGGACGGTTACATGAGCTCCGAGGACCAGGCGTCCGGTGGCATCGTCCTGCAGCTGAAGCTCGGGGACGAGGTGTGGTTGCAGGTGACGGGAGGGGAGAGGTTCAACGGCCTGTTTGCGGATGAGGACGACGACACCACGTTCACGGGCTTCCTCCTGTTCAGCAGCGCGTGATGGGTCGGGGGGCGGGGAGCGGTTCTAACTCTGTCTCTCCATCCGCCCGAATCAGCTTGGTGAAGACATTATTTGATGGTTTTACCACGTTAATTATATCACCACTGTCATAACCATAAAAAGGTGAAAGTAGGAAAGTTATTCCTAAAACTGAGTCTATAGAACTCGCTATCCTTCCGAGAGTAAATGTAAAACTACCTGCTGTGTTTATTACAGTGTATTTGATATTTTCCATCATTCCCGTGATCTGAAGAATCCTTTGCTCAGGCGTTCCTTGTGGGGAGTGTTTTGATATCATTTTAGTGCTCGAACTAGCCGTGTGATGATGTATCTCCCATCTGAATTCCTGAGGACATTACAGGGAAAGAAAAGGAAGTGTTTATTCCCTCTGTGACTAATAAGAGTTTGGGCTGGTGACAGTGGCACAGCCCAGGAAACTGCAGGACACTCTGCTCACTTTCTATCCTGGGTTTTCATCACCATTCAACTCAACAAACAGTTGTTAGTAAACTGTTTGCCAAACTTGACTCTGTTTTAGTTTCCCTCCGTATCCACAGTTCCGTATCTGCAGATTCAACCAACCATGGTTGGAAAATATTTGGGAAAAAAAAAAAATCAGGAAGTTCCAAAAAGCAAAACTTGAATTTGCCAACCTGGAAACTGCTGACATAGCATTTACACTGTACTAGGTAATTTAAGTAATCGAGAGGGGAACTGCCCTGTGGTCCAGCGAATAATCCCCTCCTAAAATTCTGGAAGCGTTAACTGTGCTTACGTTAACTCCATACACTTTTCCATTAGCTGAGAGCAACTAATAAAGAAGCAAGAGGAGACAAGCCCAGTGCATATTCAAGCGACAGCATCTTTCAGATCACAGCCTGGGACTCTGACGGACTTACAGCCGTTCTCTCCACACGTCAACCAAGTCAGCGCAGTTGTGACAGTATCTTCATTCCTTGGGAAAATGGGAATTTTCTGAATTATCATTATAAGCAGTCAGCACTGCTATAGATGAAAAGGTGAAAAATCACTTGGTTTTGGAAAACTTTGGATATATGTGGAAATCATTTCTGTTTATAGGCATTTTATTGGCTTTCCTTAATGTATGTTTCTTCTAGAACAGAGCCAGGACTCGGGTGAAGCACGTGAGACACCCCAAGTCCCCCACTTGCCTTGGCGCCCTAACGTTGGCCCAGCTGTAGGGACTGATCATTTTCTTTATTGAGCCAGAGTGTCCTTATGCTTTGGCTTCTTTCAATTGCAATAAGCCGAGCTGTTTTTCCCCAGTGTTAAGTCTGGTGTTGTTACGGACCAAACAATTCGTGTACTAACTCCCTTCTAATTAGGGTCAGAACTTTATAGGTGAGATAGGCATAAAGGAAAAAAGTACAGTTTATGACCAGAATATTGGATACAAGCTTTCATAAATTCTTTTTTTTTTGCAGGGCAAATGTATAAGATGAAATGTAAAACATGTTATAAAGAACTTCAAAAGGATAAAGTTGATTGGGGAGGTGTCTGATCTGCCATTTGGAATTATCTCCCATCTGCTGTCTGTGGATCTGGTCTGCAGTTTTTACAAGTCTAACTACGCCAGGCTCCCTGAGACACAAGACACCTCGTTAACGTAGCACAAGCCAGCATCCTTTGAGGGTGTTTTTACGCTTCAATTGTTTGCATTAAAAATGGTTAGGAACCATTCTGGGCTAAAGAAAAGCTCTTAGATTTGAAACTCCTTTTAAAAAATATGATAAAGTAAGTAGTTTTGTCACATATATTGATGAATATTTTTACATGGCAGATTTGACATCTGTGTAAGGGCCTGCCGCGCAGGCCTGCGATGTGGGGTGGCTGTCCCCAAGGACCAACCAGCCACAGACGATGCGGTATTAATCGCCACGGAGTTAGGACTTTGGGGATTTTAAATAATTTGGAATCTGATGAAAAAGTCAGCAGACGATGAAATCACGACTTACCGTATGTACACAAACGAACGCAGAATTTCTAGTTACGCTGTAGAGACTTGTGTAAGTGCACCCTGGCACTCGCCTTTACTAAATTTTCATTGCTCTCTTTTTATCACTGGGGCTTTTTCTCCCCACCAGGCTACTCTGAAACTCCATTTAACAGTAAATTGTTGTGAGGACGGAAAGGGGCGGGTTAGAAGCCCGCCCCAGTTGGCCCTCTCTTCTGGCTCTCTGGAACTTCAGAGAAGGTTCCGGGGCTGCTCACATCCAACAGGTGTTCCCAGGAGCAGACTCTACCTCAGGCCCACGCATTCAGGTGAGATACAAGGTTCCGTTGGCGCTGGTCCTTGGTACAGGGACACGAAGCATCCTTCGGCACGGTACGCAATGCCCTGCGCGCCGGGCGCTGGGGGACTGGATCAGGGGCGTCCGGTTCCGCCCGAAGCCGAGGCCCAGCAGCAGCCTCCGCGCTGTCCTCCAACAGGGTCATCCTCACGGGCCGTACAGGGGATGCTCCGAGCGCTGCACAGCCTCCGCTCGCGGACACCGGGAGGGCGCCCCCCGGCCCCATCCCTCACCCTCTCCACCGCTGCCCTCCCAACCCCGTACTCCCTCCGCCGGTGACTGCAGCTTGGCAGATTCCACCCCCCAACAAGCTGCGTTGTCGATTATGTTATCGATCACTGCGAGTTTACAGTCGATGGATGGAGGTCCACCGACAGCTCTGGCTGCAGGGCTGGGACGTGCGGGCGCAGTGCCTTGCGTCTCGCACCCTCCTGGAGCGGAGGCCTACGGAGGGCGACGGGTCTCGGTTCAGGGTGCCGGGCAGCGGTCGGCCTGCCGCCCACGTGTGTTCCCGGCAGCGGGTGCGAGGCTCGGCGCCGTGCAGACCCTGCCACCCGCCCGGCCACGTGGGAGGGCGGGGCGTCCTGCGGTTCCCCCTCCAGGCGCGCGGCGGCGCTAGACGCGGCGGCCCGGGAAAGCAGCGGGCGACGCTCTGGCCCTGGGGACGCCGATGTGCGCTGGCCCCGCGGCCTCCTGCCCTTCCCGGAAGCGCGGGGTCACGTGGGAGGCGGGCGCTGCCGTGGAGACGCGCCGCGCTCGCCGGCGGAGCTGCGGGCTGGGTACTGGAGTCCGGTTTCGTGGGCCCTCGCGGCGCGGAGCGGCTGCAGCGGCGCAATGCTGTGCGCCCGGCGGCTGGGCGGCCTCGGGGCCGGGCTCCGGGGCCGGTGGGTCAGCACCAGCTGGTCCCCGGTGGGCGCCGCCTTCAACGTCCAGCCCCAGGGCCGCCGCCTGGACCTGTTCGGCGAGCGCCAGGTGAGCGGCCCGCGGGACCCGGGCGGGGTCGTCGGGGTCCGGGCGGCGAGGCCGCCTCGCGCGGGAGGGAGGTGTCGTTTGCCCGGGGTGACCTTGCGGGCGGCCCCCCCGCTCTGAGGGGGCAGGTGCCGGGGGGCGGGGCGGCCCCAGGTTCGGGTCCAGCACCTGCCCAGCGAGGGCCCCAGGTGCAGTGGTCCTGAGCGCGTCCCCCGAACTCCCAGCCCTGTAGCTCAGATCCGACCCCAGTGAGGCGCGGGCCGCGCGGTGAGCTCACCTACGGCCTCGGTGTCTTTGATACCCGGACCCGCTTCTGTCAATTAGTGTAATTAGTCTTTACATTGATGCCCGAAGTGACGTTATTAATATTTTCCCAAGCTTTTCGGCTTTGTTTCTTTTCCTTTAAAACACCGAGTTAGAAGAGTCCTCTAAGGCGGTGCAGCCTATCACGTAGATTTTCCCACAGAAAATCACTGACTTCTTGTGTTGTTCTAGTTGTTTGTGTATACACGCGACCCGCTCGGTGTCTGGCATTTAGTAGACACTCATTATTTTTTTCTTTTTTAAAATTTATTTTATTGAAGTCGAGTTGATTTACAATGTGTTAATTTCTGCTGTACAGCGAAGTGACTCAGTTATACACATATACATCCTTTTTCGTATTCTTTTCCATTATGGTTTAGCCCAGGATATTGAATATAGTTCCCTGTGCTCTACAGTAGGATCTTGTTGTTTATTCATCGTGTATATAATAGTTTGCATCTGCTAACCCCAAACTCCCACTCCTTCCCTCCTCCACCGCCCACCTCCTGAAACTCATTATTGAATGATTGACTGAATTAAAGGTGAAAGGAAGGAAAGCTTGGAAGGGATTCACCTGTGTCTGCTTTACTTTGCATTTATGGATTTTGCTCACTTTGCACTGTTACTTTTATTTTTGTCTTTTTAATTTTTTCATTATTTCTATTGCCTTTCTTGGAAAGATGAGTGTGGGATATAATTACAGTGAGCCTAATAAGGTGAGTTTTTCTTATTTAACGCCCAAATTTCTTCGTTTTAAAATTATTTTTGAATGAAATTTGCTACACCAACTTCCATGGGGGTAAATAACGTTAGTACTGACATAATTGGTGTGAGAACGAGCACAGCCTGTGGGTACTGAGCAAAAAGGCGTGAGGGGTAAGCTTGGTTATGGGTGGATGAACTAGATCTAATTTTAGCTTTATTAATTTTTCTTTTGTACATCATAATTTTAGGTGCTGATAGCAGATTTTCAAATATGTGAATTGGTTTTTGATTAAAAAAAGAAACCCAAAGGCTTATGTAGTTTTCTGGTATCACCATAACTTAGTAGGCTGAGATTTAGAATTCCCAGAGGAGTGTGGGGAGGTGTGCTGAGAAGTGAAAATAAAGTCTGTAATTGAATCATATTAAATCATTGTAATAACCAAGTATATTTTTGGTCCTAATTCTGTTTTGCCGCTGCCTGTCTTTATTTTCTCCAACTCGTTAATATAGTTTGAAAAGAAGTTAACAACTTCCTGCATTCCTTCTTGCAGAAACAGTGGGCCTTGTCAGGCCTGAAAGCTTCATCTCTTGGTATTTCCCGCAATTGACATGTTAAGCATCTCTTGATACAAAGCTGTCTACACAGCGGTCTGGCCCTGTTCATTTGCCTCATTCGTGAGTTCCTGCCTGTGTTGGGCCCTGCGTTGGGCAGCTGGTTAAAATGGCGAAGAGCGGGGTTCCTAGTCCCCGGAGCTGCCCTTCTGCAGAGGCGAGACTTTCCAACACCAGTTGCAGTCCGTGAGCGTGGAGAACGTGTGGGCTTTAGGGATGCTTGGAGCAAGTTGAGGTTGTGGCTTTCCCACTGTTTGCTAGTGACCACAGACATGTTCGTTTAACCTCTGAAAGTTACCTTATCTGTAAAAAGGTGATTGATGGTTTGTGCTCTAGGATTGTGTGATTTACACGGGAGAACCTGTGTAAAGTACAGGGTACACTTGTGGCATGCCGTCGATGTGTGATAAGTGTTCGTGGTTTTTGTCTGCCTTCCTGGGCATCATAACAAGTGTGATCGAACCGGTACAAGAAGATGGTCCTTCCTTCCCATTAGATAGTGATTTTTATCTTTATCAAGGTGTTGAAATGCTTTTGGAAGGTATAAAACTTGCTGCCAGTTTCCGCCTGTGACTTGTTTTAGCATGTTTATTAAATCTTTCTAAAATATATATGTACTCAGCAATCAACTCACCGTTCCTAGTTCATAGTTTGTGGAGTGCTTGACGCTGTGCCCTGGACCTCACTCAGTGCCGGGCAGGGTCTTGAGAACTTACTAACCTTGTTCCTGTGTCCGTGCTGTGAGACACAGCACATACTGTCATCCCTTCATGCCTGATGAAGAAATTAGGCCAAGGAGGAGAGACAACTTGACCAGGGTCACACAGCTGATAGCGGTTACAGCTGACATTTGTTAAACGCTTTCTGTGTGCCAGGCACTGTTAAAATGTTTTTTAAAAACGTGTGTCGTTTAATCCTTGCCACTTCGTGAGTTAGGTTCTGTGGTAGTGACAGAGCTGGATTTTGAACCCATATCATTCTATTTTTGTTTTTTATAAAATAATTAAAAATTGAAGAAAAATTACATTCTAAAACGTTTTTAGTGTCATATGTGGAATGTCGCGGGGAATGTGAAAGTGATACCTGTGATGACAGGTGTCACCATGATATGAAATATCAATGAAAACCAAGATTTTGTTTACAGAAAAAGTATTTGTATTGAATACCCCCGGGTCACGTTTTTAGTTATCGGTGGAAACTGTTCTTTGGGTTTCAGGGCCTGTTTGGAGTTCCTGAGCTCAGCGCCCCAGAAGGATTCCGTGTCGCCCAGGAGAAGGCCTTGAGGAAAACGGAGCAGCTGGTGTGCCGCGTGTGCTCTGCGCCTCCTGGGCCCCAGACCGTGCTCATCTTTGACGAGCTCTCGGACTCCTTGTGCAGGGTGGCCGACTTGGTAAGACGCCGGGCATGGGCCGCAGACCACTTCTCACTTTTGCAAGTTAAGCTCAGTGTATTAGGTTCAGTACTGGACTGTAAAGTCAGGAATGTCTGAACTGTTTGAGAGCTCTTGGGTGTAATCTGTTATAGTGAAGTGTGCTGTTGAATGGGAGGAATGTACAGGAAAGGTCAGATTTAGTACTCGTACTTTAATACGTATATTTAATAAAATAGATATGTAATATGTAATGGAAGAATGATTACACACATGGCAAAGATTCTTCATGTTACAGAGGTTCTTCATTTATAAAAATGTCTACCAAAATTCTAGTAGAACATTTATCTGTATCTTTACAATAAAATTAATCTTAGAAGAAAACTAGTTTTTATAAGCCTTTTCAGGAATGTCTTTTCTGATCAAAAATAAGGTTTTGACATCAAACTTGTATCAAAGGCGTCTTTTCCCCATGTGTTGAGATAGACGTGCCCTCAGGTCTCTCCTCCAGCTGAGACGCCCACGGCCGAGGTGGAAGCAGGCTTCCCTCTCAGCCCGGGGTGGCCGCGACATCGTAGTGGCGCGCAAGTCCCCAGTCGTGGTCACGCCTGCTCCTGTCTGTACAGCTCTTTCTTCATGTTCATTCTACGCGCAGCCCCACCCTGGCCGGGCACTGGGAGTGTGGTCCGACCTCGTGGGGCTTATGTTCTGGTGTTGACTGTTTTGTAGCTCTTGTTGGCACTGGACCCAGCTAAGAGCTTCACCTGGATTGACTGATGCAGCCTTCTGGGCATGTCTCCACCTGTCGACGAGGAAAGAAAGGCACTAAGAGTTTAAGTTCCCCGGCCCACGAGTGGTGGAGCTGGGCTTCGTGTCCAGGCAGTCTGGCCGCAGAGGCCTCGCTCTCCACGCTTCCAGGGCTGCTGCCGCCCGGGCCGGATGGAACCTTACCTGGAGTGGCAGGAAGGTCACCTCCCCGTCTTGTGAGAAAGTGTTTATTTTCAAAATTATTACGCAGTAAAATCTACTTCTTCTAAGGGATGGTGCAAGTCTGTGAACGTGGACTCTGTGTGCATGTAGCCGCCCCGCGGTCAGGCTGCGTAACTTCCATCACCCCCAGAACGCTCCCTGTGCGTCGCACCACCTTGCCTCTCACCTCGGGCAACCTCTGATCTGTTCTCCATCCCCGTAGTTTGTCTTTTCTTAAGTATCAGGTAGGTGGAATCATATTTACTGTTTGAGGCTGACTTTCTTCACCAGGGTGGCAGCCCCCCGTCTGTGGTTTCCTTCTTCGAGAGCCTCCTTGCTCTCAGCATCTGCACTGAGCCAGTAGCACCTCCGCTGTCCTAGACCCACTGCTGCAAGTTTCCCGGTTGTAAAGAGATGAGCAGAGTATCCACCCTGAAGGGCTTTCCTGAGGGGAAGTGAGCTGTGCCGCGGGCTCCGTAGTCAGCTCTTGCTTTTTCTGGGTTCGGGTTCTGTCCCTCCAGGATGTGCTCAGCGAGGGCTCATCTTGTTGAGGGACGTGGGAGGCGTACGGTCAGAAAAGAGGTTTCGAACCGTCTCTGCTTAACGGTGCCGCTGAAATCTGAAAGGAAAGCGCGGGTCAGCAAATTTCACTTATTTGTAATCGAGTATTGGCTTTTGCGGTCAGAAATCCCAGAACTTACTGGGTGTTTGTTGTCTTAGCCTCTGTCTTAATTAACCAGTGTTCTAGCATTTTTTCCACATTTCTACTTCTGCTCTTCACTAAAAGATTTTAACTTCTCTGCCCCATAGCTTGCCCTATTTTTGAAGTTTTTTATATTTATGAAGTTTGATAATGTCTCATTCAAAAAGACTAGGATGTGATTTATACATGTAAATATTTGGGTCAAAAAGCTCAAAGAATCTTCTTCCTTTTTTGAATTTTTAAGATTTTACCGGCTAGTGAGATCAGTACCATGTAAGGCAGGAGTTTTATAAACTGGTCCTTTTGTTTTCTTTTTCTTTCTTAACACAGTCCCCGTGGAACTGTATTATTTTCCTCACCACTATCACAAACGAGTTTTAAAACGTATGCTGGTGTTTTGAATTTCAATATTGATTGTAAATTGTGCAGCATGCAGATGAGTAATTTATACAGCATCTTTTAAAGTTTACACAGCTCACTTTCCAGGTGCCTTAGTGCAGATGTTATCCTACTGTTACGTCAAATGTCGTATCAAACTATGGATTTATATGTTTCTACATAAACTATTTGATAGTAAAATTAGGGCATTTTACTTCGTGGTGATTTTGTTTCACGTTTTAGCCGTATATGTTGTCTTCATGAGAATGAAGAAAATACGCAGTTTTTTGTAGTTTCCCTGCATTTCTGTTTTGCAGTGTACTGCAGTTAACATGAAAACTAAAATCTAGTTTTATGAGATTTCATTAAAAAAAATTAAAAAAGGGATTCTGGCTTAGTTAAATTCTAAGGTCAGTACAGCAGCTCTGGTCCTGCGCCAGGTAGGCTGCAGCCGGGGAGTCCTGTTTACTCAGAGGCAGTCTTTGTTCTCTGCAGGACGGCTGGGATGCACTTAACTCAGCCTGGAAAGGACACCAGGTGTGAGTGTTAACTAGAAGCGCCTCAAGCAGTGTTCCATGGAGCCAGGTGGGAACACTTAGGGAGAAAGCTCCGGATCATTTGAAGCGAGACTCTTCTCTTTTGAATGATAGAAGTAGGAAGAATTCACTTGGTTTTTACATTTGCAGGAGGGAGACTTCTCTAAAATAAAGTCAGTAAGAGTATTTTGGAATGTATTAGGAAATGAAACGGACTTGGTTCCCGGGAATAACAGAATTAATGAATGTTCAGGAAGAAGCTGCCCCTCCCGCCGGCTTAGGAAAGTTCCAGTAATGGAAATTCCTGGTCAAGGCAAATGGCACATTTTAAAGTTCACGTTTTCATTTTCGCCCTCAGACCCTGGAAGCAAGCTTCCCGTCAAACGCCCTTTTGCTTTTGTCTCCCCTCCATTAGGCCGATTTTGTGAAAATCGCTCACCCCGAGGCAGCGTTCAGAGAGGCCGCGGAGGAAGCCTGTCGGAGCATTGGCGCCATGGTGGAGACGTATGTCCGGGGCCCCGGGTCTGCCCCAGGTCGTCTGTGTGCAGGGCTCGCCCCGCCGGCGGGGATGGGGCGTGGGGTTGGTGTGTGAGCCACAGGGCTGCCCGGGGCGGGCGGGTGTGGGGAGCCCACGGCCTGACTCTGGGGCGCCTCCCTGTCTGCTGTCCCTCGGTTTCCTCACTGGTCGGGGGGGTGGTGGAGTGATCTGTGTCTCAGGGCTGCTGGGAGGAGGACGAGACGGTAAACGCAAAGTGCTTGTGGTGCTGGGGGGCACGCGGCGGACACCCGGGGTCCTCGTTCTCCTCGTTGAAGGGATCGCCAGCGTCTCGGGGCGGGCAGCGCGAGCTGGCACATGGCCGTGCGATGGAATCGCTGTCGCCCTGGAGCTGTGGCCGCAGGGCGAGAGGTCAGCGTGGTCACCTCTGCCCGGTGGCCTTGCGGTCCCCTTGGGGCTGGGATTTGGGGCATCTGGGCCCATCGTAAAGGCAGTCTGGGAGCTGCGGCAGGCGCAGGCTGGGGTGAAGTCTGGGGTGAAGTCTGGGGTGAAGTCTGTCACTTGAAAGGGATTCGGAGTAAATGTAAGAATACTGGTCAGAGTAACGGGGAGGGGACAGGGCGCCCACCAGGATGGGGAGTCAGCCAGTGCGGGCGCCCGGCCCCCTGGCTGGAAAGACCTCGGGACCTGTGCCTCCCAGCCCAGCGGAGGCCCCTCCATCCCCCGGAGCTCGCGTGGGGCGTAAGGCTGCTGGCCGGTGCCCCTGGCAGCGTTTGCCCTTTGGAGATGGTGCGTGTGAAATTTGGCTCCTTGAACGGGTAAGCTGGTCCCTGCAAACTCCAGACCCCGGCGTGCTGAAGGCGCTGGAGCCAAGGGCTGCTGGGGAGGTGAGCTAGAGCGCCGGGACCCTGCCCGGGGCCTGCGTGCTGCGTCAGTGGACCTGGGCTGCTGGTTGCGCGGGAGGACAGCGGGCGCCTCGGTTGGTAGAGAGGTGGTGTCGGAGGCTCGGCCCGCGGTCCCCCCTTGGCCATGGAGCACAGCTCAGTCCTTTGCTGGGACCAGGCCCTGCCCCCCCGGGGGGGCGTGGGTGCCGCGAGGGACCTGGCCGTTGTCACTGGACAGAACCCAGAGCCTTGCCCTCCGCCCTCCTGATCGCTGGCTCCTTCTCTCCCGTAGCCTGAGCTGCACCCTAACTGCCCAGGGCAGCTTTGCATAGGAAGCCTTCCAGTGCCCAAGTAGAATCGACTGACTTTCCAGTGGTGGAAAAGCAAGGATAAAACTGGATGTATTTGTTTAGAATTAATGCCAAATATAGACTAAAATACAGGCTTTATCTCAGAGTCCTGCAATGTAGGACACGATATGGGAGATCTGCTCAAACCTCGGACGTGGGTCCGGCCGGCCACCTCGGAACAGCTGCCCTTGGATGTGGGCAGCCGGGGGCCGAGCAGCCAGGGGAGGCGACGGTCCTTGCTGACCTTCTCCCGGTTCCTGGGGCAGAGGCCGAGCCTGCCCCTCTGCTGAGCGTTTCTTGGCCGGCGGGGCTGCCTTGGTCCCTCAGGTTCAGGGTGGCCCGTGAGCACCGTGGTGACAGAGGCCCCTCGGTTCGTATGAACCTGCAGGGATTTGATTGTGTGTGAGCTGCCCGGGGAACCTGACCGCCCACAAGCCCCTGAGTGGACCTTGCAGGCGGCGCTCAGCCCTTGCCCTTCCCCGAGGCAGGAGCTCTGGCCCGCACTGTGCTCTCGGGAGAGGGACTCAGGAGCTGTCGGTGGTGCCGCGGGCGGGCAGGCGGGCAGTGCTGGGTGGGCCGGGCCCGAGTGCAGCTGCGGACAGTAGCCGCCTCCTCTGGGATTGGGGGCCGTGCCCAGCGTCTTGTTGAACCCTGGGGGCCACTAAGGGTCTAACCCTTTCGGACCAAGGGCACGGTAGCCGGGGCCCCTGTGGCTGCAGGGTGCGGCTCCGAAGCCTGTGCCCTTGAGCTGTCCCCGGTGTGGACCTGCCACTCCCGCGGGTGAGCCAGGGCCGCCCAGGCCCGGCGCCCGGTCAGGACTGCAGGTCGTCCCTCCCCTCCCATCCCTGCTCCTCTCCTGTTAGAGAAACCAGTGGTCCTTGGCACGTTGCTGACGCGGCTGGTTCTGGATGGAAGCGGGGTCACGTCCTGGCTGCTCTTCTGTCCCCAGCTGTGGACTGTGGCTTTCAGTTTGTGCTTTTGCTTTCCGGGACAGTTAGTACTAACACACTTCCCGTCCCTCACTAACTGCGGTTATGCCATTCCTGGTCCAAAGGAAGAAACAAAACAATACCCCAAACCTTTGGCCTCTGGCCATGTGGATGCTGGAACTTGACACCATTCTCTTCACGTAAAGCAAAAAAAGAAGTTACTAGAAAATCATTTAATTTTTTTTATTTGTAATTTTTCTAGGTTGAACACAAATGTGGAATTATATCAAAGTCTGCAAAGATTATTAGCTGATAAAAAACTTGTGGATTCCCTTGATCCAGAAACCAGGTACTGCTTCCTTTGCATTCATCGCGGTTGTGACTGTGGAGCTGAGCTTGAAAGCCGTTCCCTCGGTGTCCCTGCGCTCACGGCCCCTCTGTCCGGACAGTTTCTCCCCACGCGACGAGTCCCGCACCCTCCTTGGACGCCACTCAGACGGTATCTCCTCCGAGAGCTCTGTGCCTGTCTCACCTCGGCCTCCCGCCCAGCTCCGCTTCTCTCGGTCCTCAGGCTCCCAGCCTTCTCTCCTCTGCCCGTTTGTTGGCTCCGCTTTCCCACCCGCTGGACGGGAAGCTCCTCGAGGGCAGGGCCTGGTCTGATTTGTTCACTGCTGCATCTTAGCGCCCCACAGCCGCGGCCTGCGGCAGGGCCCTCTCCAGGGAATGGATTCCTGTGAGCAGTTGACAGTTCCATTCAGCTGCATTCCTAAAGTTCTGTCATTGCTACGGCGGGAGCTGAAAGCAGAGTGCTTTTGCTTACTGGTGGATGTCAAGATCCTTGAAATGGTTGGCTTTGGTTCATACCGTTTATGATTCTGAATTGAAAAGACCTAATTCTGACTCAGTACACAAATATACTTGATACAGGACTGTGGATGTTATATTTCTTTGCTCAGATTTATTTATTTATAAGACGTGGTAGAGTTTGTCGTTAACCCACCTATATGTTATTTGTGTCATGGCACAGAGACGAATGTCTTTTCCTGCCTTTTGCACTCGTTTATCTCCTTTTTCTTTATGGGATGCTTACTTGGCCCCGTCTGCTTCCTTCTCTGTTGTCTGTCTCCGTACGTGGCCTGTGACCCCAAGTGACGCCCAGCCCGCAGGGGTCAGTCAGCGGTGGTGTCTCATGTTGATCTGGTGTACGAGTGACCATGCCGTGGGAGAAGCAGGGAGGGGTTGTCTTCACCTGTCTGCCTGTAAGCAGTCACCTGTGGTCCTGTTTCAGTTCATTGATCCTGATGCTCAGGATATGGGTAAAACTGGCTGTACAATCACAGCAATGGGTCTTTATTATGATTTTAGGTATGAGCATTATTACCTTCGTTAGCAAAATGAGTAAAAGGTGAATGCCTGCTAATTGTGCTGGATTTATACTGAGCTGCTGCTGACTTTGAGTAACAGCAGGTTGTTCATGATCTGACTTTACTACAGATTGCTTTCCCATATTTAATGTATAGAAATGGAAGTAGACTGGCAGACCATTTGAGGTACAAAGGAGTTGTGCTAATTGGACATGTACCACATTTCTAGATGTTACTAAGATGCCAGTAAGATTTTTATTTTTATAAATATTTATTTTTTATTTATTTCTGGCTGTTGGGTCTCTTGCTGGGCGCGGGCTTTTCTCTAGTTGTGGCGAGCGGGGGCTACTCTTCGTTGTGGTGCACGGGCTTCTTATTGCAGGTGCTTCTCTTGTTGCAGAGCACGGGCTCTAGGCACATGGGCTTCAGTAGTTATGGCATACGGGCTCAGTAGTTGTGGTGCGTGGGCTCTAGAGTGCAGGCTCAGTAGTTGTGGCACACGGGCTCAGTAGTTGTGGCTTGCGGGCTCTAGAGCACAGGCTCAGTTGTGGCGCATGGGCTTAGTTGCTCTGCGGCGTGTGGGATCTTCCTGGACCAGGGCTCGAACCCGTGTCCCCTGCGTTGGCAGGCGGATTCATAACCACTGCGCCACCAGGAAAGCCCACGAGTTCAGTATTTTGATTCCCCTGGTCCCTAATGGGAAAGTAAATCATCTTAAATTAGCTTATAACTAAAAAGGGAAAGATGGGGACTTGACTGGTGGTGCAGTGGTTAAGAATCCGCCTGCCAACGCAGGGGACACAAGTTCGATCCCTGGTCCGGGAAGATCCCACATGCAATGGAGCAACCAAGCCCGTGTGCCACAACTATTGAGTCTGCGAGCCACAAGTACTGAGCCCACACACCTAGAGCCCGTGCTCCGCAACAAGAGAAGCCATTGCAATGAGAAGCCCACGCACTTCAACAATGAGTAGCCCCCTGTTCACCGCAACTAGAGAAAGCCTGCATGCAGCAGCAAAGACCCAATGTGGCCAAAAATTAATTAATTAATTAAAAAAAAATAAAAAGGGAAAGATGAACTTGTAGGTATAAAATATTACAGGAGAAAATCACTGAAAAGTTGCCCCTTGCTTTAGGTGTTATCCGGGATACTTTATGTTCTGCTGTTGCTTTTTTATTACTGCTAATACTTGACATTAGGATGAAATTGTTACATTAAGGAAAGGTTGGGAAAATTAGGGCCTATTGTGAAGTTTGCAGATGCACTTTACGATCATTAAAAACTGGATTTCTACAAAGCACAGTGGTACTCATTCTTGAAATAGCCATCTTTCCTCCTAAGTCTAAGCAAACTTAGCCCAAGGGGAAGAGGATGGTGGCTTGAAGCTGATGAAGAGTCTGCTTTTTGATAGCAGGAGAAAAAGGTGATGTTTCAGATATTGCTGACCTGTTGAAGGGTATTACTGATGGTCTTTGAACTCCCTAAGCACTTTATTTGCACCCCTGTTAGGAAACTTATTATTTCTTTTGCCTTATGTTCATTCATTCAAAAAGTACTTATCCCCGTCTGGGCCACGCCTTATGGGTGAGCAGAGTATCGTTCTGTTCAGTACACATGCTGAGTAGGAGATGTGTTACAGTTACGCATGCACACCTTCATGCAGAGTTCAGGCAGCATGTGTATGTCCCACAAGGACTTAATTTGGTGCGTTGTGTATAGTTTGCAGCAGATATTCTTGAAGGAAAGATAGTTGAAAAGATGTACATTTTTTTCCTTTCTAGAAAAAAGCAGAAAATTTGGCCTTGTTGGAGTAATTGTCATTCATTGTCAGTTTAAGACTTGTTGTATAGTTAGCACGGTGTATCTGATACCAAATCATCCATAGGAAAGCTTAAAACCCAGTCAGTCAGCCAGCTGTTTTGCCTGACTTCTAAGATGTTAAGCTCCTGGTTTCAAGCAAACAAATTGTGTGTGTGTGTGTGTGTGTGTGTGTGTGTTGAAACATCCGGCTTTTGGGCAGTAAGGTTGAAAAAGATGGATTTATTTTGCAGAACACTGATTTTTGTTCATAATTATCATTACCTGTTCTAACCTGCCACCTATTTGATTCACAGGCGAGTGGCCGAACTGTTTATGTTTGATTTTGAAATCAGTGGAATCCATCTGGACAGAGAAAAGGTAACCTTGTTTTTTGGCTCCTCTTGTTTTACTGGTATCTAGTTGGTATATTGTTGATGTGGTTCTTGTATGTTGCTTGAATTTCCATATTATAAAGACACCTAGGTCGGTTATGTTATAAAATTCTCCTGTAAGTTGTATTTGAACATAGTGCTCTCTGGAAGTTCGCCTGTCACCCAGGATAATTCAGAGTTAAGAAATGGCTTGAGGCAGGGCGTTTTCGGTGTCATGGAAGCGGGATGAGATGGGCCGTATCAGGAAGGCCAGCTAGTGAGTAGGAAAGCTGGCGCTGTTGAAGATTAGGGTCTGGTTGCAGAAGTACAGGAAGTATTGCTGAGACCCAGTGCAGGTGTGTTTGTTGATGTAATACCTGTCTTGGACAGACCCCCATAGTTTCATTCTGAAAGCAGTAAGCATGGGTTATACCGTGTTGAAACTGGGATGGGAGGGGCCTTCTTTGTCCAGACCCCTCATTTTACATGTGTGGGAACAAGGCAAAGCGATCTGTTCAAGTTCCCATCCTTTGTCCTCAGGATCTCTCACCCTGGCTGCTGCTCTTCTAGAACATGACATCCCAATGAGTGCTTATTCACTTCATGGTCCAACCAGCACCCAAAGAGCTGCCTGCTGCAGTGTCTCACCCTGCCTGCCTGCAGCCTAGACTGTTACGGTGCCTCTTTCTTTTTTAGAGAAATATGTTTCTCCTGGTAAATATACGATAAAGCCACTTACCTATTAACAGAGATTGGTTTATCAAAGTGTCTTGGAAAGTGGAGGGCAGGATATTGGAATACGTGTCACGTGCGTAGATGCTGTCATTTTGGTTGGTGCTGAGTGTGAGTAATTCTGAGGCCGCTCACATGTCTGTGTACTTGTGTGGCCTTAAGGGCTCAACATGTGACTCCTGGCCTAACCCAGCAGTCCCCAAGGCTGATAGGCTCTACTGCAAACTCAGATTGCCTGAAATGGACACATTTGCCCCTTTCCAGACCAGTTTGTTATTAATACTTCTCTGTACCAATAATGCCACCATTCTCTGAGTCACCCAAATCCAATTTTGGAGTCAGTTTGCATTTTTTTCCATTCTCAGTGCTTTCATATCTCAGTGACCAAGTCCTTGGATTGTTTCTGTAGAGCTTCACTTGCCTCTGTCTGCATCCCCAAAACAACTCACCTTGATCCTTATCGCCAAATACCTGGGCCATCCTAAAAGCCATTGTCTTCCTACACCCATTATAAGTAACAGTGATTAAGCATTTGCTCTTTAAATCACATGTTTCTCATCAGATCTTCATAACAGCTTTGAGGTTGGTACTACTACTATTCCTGTTTCATGGGTGAAGACGCTGAGGCACCTAGAGGTCATGTGATTTCCTCAAGGTCACAGAGCGTGTAGGTGGAGGAGGCTATTACATAAGCCATGCCGACTCCAGGGCCTGCCCAGCTGCCCTGCCTGCAGGCCTTCTGGCGGTCAGTCTAACCTGTCTCTGACCATTGGGGTACTTTCCTTAAAGTGCTGATTCAGTTGTTACTCTCCCACCCAGAACCTTCCAGTGCCTTCCCATTGCCTATTGAAGGAGTATAAATGGTGATTAATACGTAGAATCCCCAGCTCTCCCTGCCCCTACCCCCGTGTTACTCATGGCACTGCCCTCCCTGCTCTGGTCCTCTGTCCCCTCTGGGTTTGCCCGTCTGAAATCCCCATTAAGCTTCATCTTCAGGCCATGGTGTCTGCAAAGCTGTTCTCAACCCCCCAGGTGGAATTTTGTATTCATCCGAACCCACATTTTACTTACTCCACACACATGGCATTTACCTTTAGGTTGTTACTACTGTGTTGCTTATCTGAATCACAGGCCTCTCAAGGACAGGGAGTGTGGGTTCTCTTTTTTCACGCACAGGAGTTTTAGGCTCAATAAAATAATGTGTGAGAATCATAATGGTGCTCACCAACATTAATCAGATTCGATACTTTCAGGAGGAAGTTTGCTATTAGAGAATCTGGGAGAATAGTTTTATTATTTTGTAGAATCTTCATGAAAGATGTTTTTGAAACTTTATTAAAAAGTAGCATGTCAGGTCAAGGTCAGCTTCACCAGCACTGACTTTGCTGCTTTTATCTAACGTGTGTTCTTAATAGGACAGCTGCCCCTCCTAGCAGGTAACTCCCTGCAAGCCCACCCACATTGAAGACGCAGTAACGTAAACCTGCGGAACTCTGTGTTGTCACTTCAGTGTCTGTTGTCAGAGGTGCTCCACTAGGACAGGGGGCAAGGGAGACGGCACACTTTAAGAGAGCTTGAAATGCAGCCACTAACATAACCTACAAACCGTAAAGGCCTACGTTCTTCCTGTATTCTTCCCAGGTCATTCCTTACTTACATTTTAGGGTCTCATGAATACAATTAAAAATTAAAGGAAGTGTGTTCTTCAGCAGTCATTTAATAAATGCAACAATTTCATAGCATTCTTAGAGCTCCGAGTACCGCATGTTTAATTATGTCCAAATGATGAAATGATATGCTTAGCAGACTGTTGGTAAAGTTGGGAAATAAACCGTTTTTATTTTTCCAGGGATTGTAACAGGTGATGAACTCCTTGAAATAACTAATTTTATCACTTTTTTTTTAAATAGTAAAAGCTTTGAGGAAAGTTTTTGGAACTATAGTATGATTTCCAGATGTCTTTCTTTTTTGTTATTCCACTGGTCACCATTAGGGGGTGACAGATGGCCATATCAGAAAGAAAACGGGCAAAGAGAAGAGTCTGGATGACAAAGATGCAGGAGTAGCTGAAAACTTATGTTTCCTATGAAGTTTGAATTGTCTGTATTGAAATTTTTTGTTATTAAAATACACTAAGTTTTTTCCGGCAGCTTAGCAAGGGTACATCTGCGTCATACATAGTTATCTTTTAAAACTACTAGTGCTGCCTAATCATTTGTTAGGGTCCTAGCGTAGATTAGAACCTGTTAATAGCTATCGACCCCCTTGCCGGGAAGCTTGCCTGTGATTTCACCTGAAGCCCGTCCTGAGCCCAGGTCTGGATGCCTGTCTAGTTTTCCTGTAACAAGTGCCTGAAAATTCACCCCGTGTCCCCAGGAGGGTCTGGCCCGTGGTGTTGGCCTCAGTTCTGAGGGCCTCGTCCCGAGCATTTGTGGCAGCCCTTTGATGGTACAGGCTTTCTCAGGAGCTGGTGTCCTAGGGGTGTGACCGACGAGAAAACCCACCCCATTCTGTCACTGTCACTGACGGCCTGAGGCCTGACGGTGCCAGCCGTGGGGCTGCGGGACGTGGTCCTGCCCCAGCAGCCCCGACTCCAGCCCTCCTCACCTCTCTGCTGCTGTCCTGCTGTAGCCCCGCAAGTGGCTGCCCAGCAGAGCTTCGGAAGTGCCCCTTCGCTGCACTTCAGCGAAGAGCCGTGTTGATTATACCTTCCTTCCCCTGCCCTTGTATCTGATCTTTTAAGACTGAGAATATTTTCTAATCTGCCCTTCAAATACTTCATGTGTTTAGTCTCAGAATACTTTTAAGTATCATATCAAACAGATTCAACTACTCCCTGGCTCACTTAACTAAGAGGTTTTCAGGGCCAGGGGAGGACCTGGACTTCCCAATGTTGTTAATTTCACAGATGCGTTGTGTAACCCAGACTTTGAATAGAACTCTAGAAGTTACATACGTCTTAAAGCCTAGAAGCACTAAAAATCCGTAAGATAACTTTTTGGTCAGGATATTAAATATCTATCGAAAGTAGAGTTAACATTTGTAGTACATTACTGTGTACTAAACAGTTATGGGGCTCCCCTGGTGGCGCAGTGGTTGAGAGTCTGCCTGCCGATGCAGGGGACACGGGTTCGAGCCCTGGTCTGGGAGGATCCCACATGCCGCGGAGTGGCTGGGCCCGTGAGCCACAGTTGCTGAGCCTGCGCTCTGCAACAAGAGAGGCCGCGATAGTGAGAGGCCCGCGCCCTGCAATGAGGAGTGGCCCCCACTTGCTGCAACTGGAGAAAGCCCTCGCGCAGAAACGAAGACCCAGCACCGCCATAAATAAATAAATAAAATTAAACATTTACGATACAAATTATATTCAGTATTCATTTTATCACTTAATATATTTAGTATCTTATTAAATTATAATTCAGCTCTATATGTTGATTTGCTGATAGATCACCTATTAAGTTGTGAAATATTACTTAAATAACTTTTATTACTGCCCGTACGTACAGCGTAAAAGAGCGGTGGACCTGAACGTTAAAATCTTGGATCTGAGCAGCGCGTTTCTCATGGGAACCCACTTTCCCAGCAAGATTGAGAAGCATCTCCTGCCGGAACACATTCGGCAACACTTCGAGCTGGCCGGGGACCATGTGCTGGTGGATGGTCTGCGTACAGAAGTGCCGGATGACTTGGTACGTGTGCTCCATCCTTCATGCAGTTTGGTCCCCGTACCGGGGCCACGTCTGTTGTGACCCCCAAATTCAGTGATAAGATAGTCATACCTTTAAAAACACGTTAGTGTCACTAAGCATAAAAATTGAACTGGGGGTTATTAATTCTGTGAGTGCTTTGAATGATGAAAATGGTTTGATTATTCCTGTTTCATAAAGGACTCCTCATTTTCAAAGTATGATGAACAGCAGCAGTGATGGCCATTCTAGGGACTCAGACTTTAATTGCAGGAGTTTTCACATCACCTGGTTAAAGGTGCTTCACGGCACGTGTGTTGGCTGAAATTTGTGCCGCCCTGCCCCGTAGTAGAGAACCCAGTCGAGTATGATTTGTCTCCCATACCAGTGATGAATTCAGAAGCTTTATTCCCTTTGTGGAGACCATTATTCTAAAGCGTTGCTCGCCTGCAGAACAAAGTGGGGGAGGTACCCTATATTATTATGGTGTAGGACTTTGTACTGTGTATGGATGTCTTTTACCTTTCACTTTCTAAACATAGGTGCGAGAAGCCGCTTATAAAATTTTTCTTTATCCCAATGCTGGTCAACTGAAATGTTTAGAAGAATTGCTCAGCAACAGAGATCTTCTGGCAAAGTTAGTGGGGTATTCTACATATTCCCACAGAGCCCTCCAAGGAACAATGGCTAAAAATCCAGGTAAGCCTGTTTCTCCAGCTTTAAGGACAAAGGGTTTTTATGGGCTGAACTTATGATTTTAAATAGCTATAAATTGCTGTTCTATTTTTCATATAGTCAGAGACCAGTTACTGAGATTTCTGCTTCTTTATTAGGAAGAATTTTTAAATAGAGCTAATAGTTTGGAATGTATTCTGCCCAACCTATGTACTTTTATGTACACGTTGAGAGCAAATCCTACTTAAAATTTCACTGATGATGATTTGAATTGTTTTCATTTTAACTCAGCTGGTTTCTGTGCTGAGCCTAACCGGATTGGTTAGAATTAGTGTCAGAGAGAATATTTCTGCTGAAGTCAAGGTTCATTGTAGGCTGGGTCATGTAAAAACCCATCCTTTCAGAGAGAAGAGTGTTGCTTCGCAAAGTTGGTGCTGGGGCGGGCGTGGGGGGAGCATCTCCTGGGTTTGCTCCATTCAGTTCTCTATGATTTATGATGTATAAGGGAGAATGGTTTGCAGTGAAAACGATACAAATGTATATAGCATATCTTTCAAAGGTGTGTAGTAAATTACAGTTACATTTTAGACAGTGAGTCCAGGGTAGGGTGGCCTCGATGGTGGGGCTGTTCAGACCCAGGTGTGTTGTAGGGGTTGGGTTTGCATGACTTGGTGATGGGCTGAGTGGGGGGAGCAGATGGCCGTGGACACCCGGGGTCTCTGGCCGTGCGTCGGAACAGATGTGCCGATCGCGGGGTCGGGGGGCACTGGGAGGTGCGCTGTGCTGTCTCTGTCCCTCCCGTGTTCCCTGCGGTGTCCGTAGCTCCTCGGAGGTTTTCTTGAACCCAGCCCGCCTTGTTTCTTTCTCGTGCACGCCGTCCCCTCGGCCTGGCCTCACTCCCGCTAGTCAGCCGTGGGCACGTCTCCCGCACTCGAGGCCTGCTTGCTGCCTGCGTGTCTGTCCGTCAAAATCCTATCCAGGGTGTCAGTGCTGGGCTCCCACCGCCCTCTCCATGAAGCCTGTTAAAACGTTTCCACGTCCCTTGGGCTCCTTCGTCCCTGAACTCATAGAACACTTAAATCTGTGTTATATACTTTAGCTCCCAAACAGGTATTCTGTCCCCTCGGGTGCTTTTCCGTAGTCACTGTTGTCACCACGTTGTTATAATGACGTCTTATTATTTTATACTATATGTAATAGTTATGTAATGCCTACTCTGGGCCATTGTTTCCTTTCATTCCTCTGTAGCCGTGTGAGATAGACGGTTGTATCCACTTCACGGATGAGGAACTGCAGGTCAGGTCGATTGCTAAGAAGTGGCAGGCTCTCGATTCATGCTCCTCCGTAGGCCACCTGCGACCACCTGCCCCTTTTTCTGTGTCACCTGCATCGGCTCTTTCAGTTCATTGGTTCGACAGATACGCACTGAGTGCCCGCTGTGTGCCAGATGTTACTCTAGGCGCTGGAGATAAATCCGAGTAGAACAGATGGGAATCCCTGCTTGTGTGCAGGTGACAGAGGAAAACAGAAAAGCAAGGGAAGAGTCCGGTCTGTTCCTGGCGCCTGCAGGTTGTGGAGAAAGTGGTACAGGGAAGGGAGGACTGCGCGTGTCAGGAGGTGTGCGGCCTCGCACAGTCCGCGAGGGCTGGTGAACGAGGCTGTGAGCGGAGGGTCCGGATGGGGGCGCAGGTGTGAGGCCGGGAGGAGGAACAGGGGGAGCCCGCGGGGCGGGGCCGGGGGAGGTCACAGCTGAACGAGGCTCGTCGTCGGGGGAGGTGGGTTTGAGCCGGGACTTCAGTGGTCATGGCCCCGCCGAGGGGGCTGAGAACCGCCACAGGGAGGGGCACCCGGAGGTGCTTTGCAGTAGCCACGGTGAGGGACGCGGCTGCTCCAGGCCGACGGCGGCTGTGCATGCAGGTGGTGAGATGTCACGTTTGGGGCGTGTGGCACCCGAAGGCAGAGCCAGGCCTTGGACACGAGCCACCGGGAAGACAGTTCCTGCTGACGGGGTCGGGGCAGGAGCGCGGTGGGTCTGTGTGAGGTGTGAGGTGCCAGTTGGTCAGTGCAGGTGGAAACACTGATGGACAGCGGGGCGCACACACGCCAGGACGAGACTGGTCGGCTTGCCTGGACGCTGGGGGCAGCCGGAGCCCGGGGAAGGGGGGGACTGAGCCCCAGCTCAAGTGACTGGAGGTCACTGGAGGTCACCGGCCCCGCAGTAGCAAGCGCCCAGGGTGATGGCCAGCAGATCCGCGGCTCCCAAGGTGGTTAGCACAGGAATGTCTTGGAGCTGGACTCTGTGCACACAGTTGTGTCGCGTGTGACCTGTCATTTGGTTGGGGAGCTTGGACGTATACATAGAAAGATAAACCTTAATACAGGTCAGTGTCTTTTCAGTTCCAAATGCACAGAATATGGGAAACAATGCCCTGGGATTTTAGGAGCGCAGGAAGTTTGCAGATGCTTGGATGGTTGTTGAAAGTTTCATGAGGGAAGTGAAGCTGGAGGTGGACAGTGCGGAACAGTGAGCTGTCGACAGCGGGCGCAGGAGGTGGGAGGGGTACAGGTTAGGGTGGACCCCACGTGACAGGTGTGCCGGGTCACCTTCCAGCGAGGCGTGCGCTTGCCCGAGGCCGGCAAACTCATTCCTTTTTATTGAATACTACGACGGTATCCAGGTAGAGTAATTGAGGTAGATGTTTCATGTGTAAGAGAGCTAGGAAAACAAAATAGGTGAAAGTTAGTAAACAATGGTTATTTTGAAATAAAAAGCACACACAGAGATATATTTGAAAACAGTTCTCTATGCTAGCTGGTTTGATATCCGGAAATAAAGACTTCAGTTTAAACTAAATAACAGTTGTTTTTCTTAACACCGTCTAAAATGAGGCAGCGTTTTTCAGGTTACGAGATATGGGCTGGTTCAGCACTGATGGTGGGGAGACCCCTGGGTTCCTGGTTTAGGTCCGTCCTTTCCCCAGCCTCTTATTTTACTCAGAAAAGAGATAAACTGAACAAGAAACTGAAACATAAAAGACCATCTGGAAAATAGAAAAACAGAGTGTGCAGCCTACTCTCAAATACATGTGAAAGCTCTGTACATGTTAAACAGTGACAAAAAGTGCTAAATTCAAAAAGTCACATGAAAAATTTCCTATCATGGGAAACAACAGTAACTCCACTACATTGCCTTTGTGGGTTTGTACAAAATAGTGATAGTGACTTATGGCTGAAGTATTTTAAGTAGTTAAAAAAAAAAAATTCCAATAGAGCCTAAATTTTTAATGTTCTAATTTTGCAATATTTTCTTTGGATACTGATCCTAAATAGATTATTCTGCTGTGTATATAAAAATAAAAATATTGGGCTTCCCTGGTGGCGCAGTGGTTGAGAGTCCGCCTGCCGGTGCAGGAGACGCGGGTTCGTGCCCCAGTCTGGGAAGATCCACGTGCCGCAGAGCGGCTGGGCCCGTGGGCCATGGCTGCTGAGCCTGCGCGTCCGGAGCCTGTGCTCCGTGGCGGGAGAGGCCACAACAGTGAGAGGCCCACGTACCGCAAAAAATAAATTAAAAAAATTTACCCAGAAAAACACTGATTTTTAAAATCTGATGTTTCTAAGTTGTAGTGATTTTTATGAACAAATCAGAGGCTATCTCTTGAAAACTCAGAAAAAAATTAGACATGTCTGGCAGAGATTTTTTTCCCTTAAACATATGAATAGATAGAAATAGATTGAACCTTTGGATTCTTTTCTTTCGTTTCCCCTTAACTTTTTATTTTGGGGTATCGTTTAACGCTTTGATTATTACTGTGTCAGTTTAATTCGTTTATTTAATAGAGATTATCATCATCCAGAAATGCCTAGCATATGTTAGCAACCCAGCTTCCCTTCGAGGAGCCTCACTTTAAAGGCGTCGTAGTGTATGGACTTATGATCACTGCGTTATAATTTTAACAGGCATGTACATTTTATTTTGTGTAGTTAAAGATATTTTCTTTTGGATTTTCATTTTAGAGACTGTCATGCAGTTCCTTGAGAAGCTATCTGACAAACTCTCTGAAAGGTTCGTTTTTGTATTCTCTTCAGAGTACATGTTATTTATTTAGGTTTTTTATAAGACTTGATTTATAAAAAAACAATTAGTAAGTGAGCTGTTAAGAATATAAGTGTTGGAATATTGCGTCAGATCTGTGGACTGTTCAAGAGATTAGATGACCAGTGAGCCCTGCTTTGAAAGTGCAAAGTCGTCCCCCGAAGGTGACAGTCTCGGAAACTTGGGCCGTCCCCTCTGATGAACCAGTCAGCCGACTTGAGGAACTCATCATTGATAGGGACTTCTTAAAATTTCCCAAACCTTTTGAAACTATATATTTTAGCTCGTACTATCAGTTTTATCATCAGCTGGAAATGTAGTATTTCTCTTCTTTCGGCCTCAGTGTGGGTGGCTGGTGGGGATGGTAGACGGATCTGTTTGCCCTGCTGTGTGCTTTAAGAGCGCTCTCAGTGGTCCCTCTGTCACAACTGCCTGCCTTCTCCCTGCCCAGCCCCCTGGGCTGGCCCTCGTCCTCGGGGCCACTCTGGTAGTGCTCTTTCTGGGGGCCAGCCCCCCAGGAGCCTTCAGACACCCTGGCTCTAGGACGAGTCATGGCACGTTTGTGAGAGACCGTGATCTCTCCTGTGGCACTGCCTAAAACCTCGTTTGCTGCCTGACTGCACCAGCGTGTCAATTTTAGCTCCAATTTCCATTTTCTGTTATAAACTCATGCCTTAGAACACAGTCCTCTCCAATTTGGATTATATTTATAAATTCTAAAATTATCTTTCAATGCAGTGAGCTGTTGTGGCTTTGATATAATGAAGTAGTGTTGATTATGCAGTTATTTGAGACTATTCTACTTTGCCTTGCTGGTTAAACATTCTTCTTTTTCACTTGTATGTAGCTATAGATTATATTTTGAGCAGACGTACCTTCAGACTTTTACAGTGGCATGTAGGAGTTCATTCTAACAGAAGTTTCACATTCTGCAAATACTAAGTACGTATTTGATCATTGCCCAGCTGGAGGTTTTCGGTAGGGGAAAAATTACGACTAGCAATCTTAAATATAATCTATGTTAATATTCTTTTATAGGAAGTAATTTGTTAGCCTCTTTTCTAAGGTGTAGCAAAAAGCAGTGGTTTAGGGCTTCCCTGGTGGTGCAGTGGTTGAGAGTCCGCCTGCCGATGCAGGGGACACGGGTTCATGCCCCGGTCCGGGAAGATCCCACATGCCGCGGAGTGGCTGGACCCGTGGGCCATGGCCGCTGAGCCTACGCATCCGGAGCCTGTGCTCCGCAATAGGAGAGGCCATAGCAGTGAGAGGCCCGCGTACCGCAAAAAAAAAAAAGCACACAAAAAAGCAGTGGTTTAAAGTTTACTGATTAACACTTTGCACTTCGCATGTTTCTGTTAACACTGCTAGTTTTTCCAGGCTTTTAGTACTTTCAAGACATATCTCTGCCAAGGTGCTTTTTAAGGTAGAAATTGTAGTAATTTACTGATGTATATATTATTGTTTTTTCTAGCACATGTAAAATTTGGTTAATACTGGTTGCATTTGCACTACAAATTACTTCTAATTTTATCATGAATATTGGAAAGTAACATAAGCAGACTAGTTCTTTTATAATGTAATTATGAAAATTTTGTCCTAACAATTAATGATAAATCTGTTTTACAGAACTATGAAAGATTTTGAGATGATACGAGGGATGAAAATGAAACTAAATCCTCAAAATTCTGTAAGTGACCATCTTGGGATATTTTTATTATAATATAAACAGTCTGTCAGCTGAGGTCTTTATCTTTTGACTCTAGAACTTTCTTGTGATTTGCTGAAGGTGTATATAGTCTTGTTTCTGATCCTTGGATTTGGGGAATAAAGTATTGAAATATTTGGTCCAAATGTCCGAGTCTGGCATTCCAGGAAATCCATCGTTTTTGTTGGTTGGTTGCTCCCTCGCTCCCTCGCTCCCTC